GGGGCCCCGGCCTGCGTGCGAGGACGGCGCGCTGCCCCGGGAGCGCGGGCGGCAGGGCGCGCGCGGGGGGGCGGCAGAGGCGCGAGGCGCGCGGGCGGCCGGCGGGCAGCAGGCGGGCCTGCGCCGGCTCTAGGCGGCCGACCTGTGGACTTGGTCCCTGCTCCCTGCGGCCCGCCTCCCTCCGTGAGTACCGTCCCTGCCCTTCTTCCGGAGGAGCCTTTAGCCCGGGGCCTGGGTGAGGGGCCAGGGGTTGGTTTAAGGAGCGGAGTTTCCCAGAGGAGGGCCGCACTGGCCCTCCCTCGCCGCGGACGCCCCTCACATGGCCACAGGTGTGGCTGGCTGAGAGAGGTGTGCTTGGGCCGGTTCCCCAGCCCCTTACACTGGGGTAATAAGGGGCAGCTGGTGCCATCCATTGACAAGTGACAGGCACTTTCCAGCAACCCGACTTCCAGGATCGGCAGCCCAACCAGTTCTACCTCTACTCTACTTAGGGAAACTTCACCACCACCAGGTCGATTCTCGTGGGTGGCAGCCACTATTTTGGTTTTCCTTTGTATTAAAGATAATTAAAGGTTGTACCCTGAGTTGAGCCCCTTCCACTTCTTCTTTACTTTGCTATGGATACTCTGAATACTTCAGGTGGTTCTCTTTCCAATTTAGTTCTGGTTCATATCATAGTTTTGGGATGGTTTTTGTTTTTACAAAACTATCTAGATTTTTCCCTTCAAAGTTTCAGTTTCATAAGCAGCTAAGTCTTCAGAATATTTATTGATCTGTTTGACAGTTTTGTGCTTAATTTTATCTTCTAGGAGGTGCAAAATAATTGTACACTAAGAAGCCATGGAGAAGAGAAGTGTGGATGAAACAGAAAATGGAGATGCTTTCCTTGACCTGAAGAAACTGCCCACCTCCAAATCCCCCCATCGCTATACGAAAGTAAGTTTTGTTTCAAATGAAGTAATAATGTATAGCTATTTCATTGGAATTATTTAAAGTGGTAGTTTTGTTCTGACTCATTGGGGACTAAATAAGTCTTGTAAAGCATCCATTTGGTCATTTTTAAGTGTGACTACTGGGTTTAAACTATAGGTTTTAGGTGAAATTTGTAGATAAGTGTTTGTACCCAGATGTTCTTTAAAAGTTGGGTGATTGGGTGGTGGGGATCAGGTGAGGAGTCCAGCTCTGGGATGTTTCACAGAATCAGTGTCTTTTGTATGGATGTTTTCTTGGAAGTCCAATTCCCTAGAAAAGGAGTTTGGCTGGAGTAATTGGATTTTTTAATCTTTTCTTTTTTGTTATAAATTAGATGTAAGCTCACAAAAGCAAGCCTTCGGTCATATTTCTTTGCTGAAGATTACATAGTGATTTTAACCTGTCTGTTACAGTTTTTGGAGATATGTTTTTATGTGGTACCCTCTTGTTTCAGCCTCTGAGTGTGAATTTAGAGGTGTGTATAGCTGCTTGTAAACTGGTTGTCTTAATGTCTTCTCTGACTAGAAACCACAACAAGGTTTTATAGGTAGTAAAGATACTACATCTGTGTCATATTGGCTGCTGAGTGTTTCTGAACAGATTAACAAGTTGCAGTGAACTGTAAATTAGTTTCTAGCTTTCTAAAATGTCTTGAGCTAGAGTATATAAAATGCTCCCAAAGGAGAAAGTCTTGAAACTGCCGATGACAGGGATTATGCTTTAGTTGAGCCCATGTCCGTATTTCTTTGGTATGAATGCCATCATCAACTTCAGCATGGCCTATGTCCCTGACCTCCTAGGATACTCACTAAAGCTAGGCCTTGTTTGTACTGCTTTTACTTTTCCCTAGTCGTATAAAGTGTCAGATGGTGTCAGGTAGCTGTTTTCAGAATCAAAGAAAGAGAGAATGAATGGTTAAACAAATGCATTAAGAAGTATGCCTTGGAATTTTTAAGTCTAACATGAGTTCTTGATTGAGTGCTTTCCCATCATGGTGTTTTCTGTTGTGATAGGATGTTAGTTTTCAGGGTCTCTCTACATAGCCCTAGCTGTTCTGGAATTCACTAATGTAGACCAGGCTGGCTTTAAACACACAGAAATCCATCTGCCTCTGCCTGCTTATTGCTGAGATGAACATTTGTCAGATAGATTGTGAACTACGTATTCCTATTCAGGCTTTGCTTTCCAAATGCAGATGCTCTCATGCTTGAAAAGGACTCCACAACTTAAACTCGTTGCCTAAAATGTTGACAGGTGAATTCCGCATGTGTCAGATGAAGGGAATGGCTTTGAACTACTTGCAAGCTTATTTGATTTCAAATTTCCTAGCTCTTTTTTTTTTTTTTTAAAGATTTATTTATTTATTATGTATGAATACACTGTAGCTGTCTTCAGACACACCAGAAGAGGGCAGCGAATCTCATTACGGATGGTTGTAAGCCACCATGTGGTTGCTGGGATTTGAACTCAGGACCTCTGAAAGAGCAGTCAGTGCTCTTAACCACTGAGCCATCTCTCCAGCCCCTCAAATTTCCTAGCTCTTGTTTAGCTTTTTTGAAGGAGTCTCATGTAGCCTAACCTGGCCTTGAACTCTTAATCTTCCTGTATTCTTACCTACCAAGTGCTTTACAAGAGGAAAACTTTACAAATGTAAAGCACTTGGTACTTGCACAGTGGTACAGGTGCCATCAGCTCCAAGCACTTTTTGAATTAAAATTCTGATTGATGTTCTAATATCCTGCTCAAAAGGAAAACAAGAAGAAAGATTAGTATTCTTTATTTTTCCCTATGTAGCACACACTGAATTCAAACTCATGGACTTCCTGCCTTAGTCTTGTGAATGCTGGGGTTTTAAGCATGAGCCACTCACTACACACAAATCAGCATTATTCATTTTGACAGTAAAACCACAGAGTTCTGTCATACTTAAGTGTGCGTTAAAGATCTGGTTAAGAAAAGCATTTTTAGCTGAGATAGTAGTGCATGCCTGTAATTCTAGCACCTGAGAAGGTAAAGCAGAGGATTATCATGACTTCACAGTCAACTTGGCATACTAGCAACAGCCCTGTCTTGAATAAGATGAAAGAAGCCAGATACAGTAGCACACAATTGAAATCCCAGCATTTGGATGGTAGAGGCAGGCAAGCAGATCCCTGAGTTCTCAGCCAACCTGATCTACAAGGCAAGTTCCAGGGCAGCCAGGGCTACAAAAGAAACCCTGCCTCCAAAACAAAATAAACAATCAAAAAACTGATGGTGGCGGTACATGCCTTTAATCCCAGCACTCAAAAAACCAAATGATAAAAGGAAAAAAAATTAAGCTTAATTATTGAGGAGCTTAGTTTTTTTTTTTTTTTTTCGAGACAGGGTTTCTCTGTATAGCCCTGGCTATCCTGGAACTCACTCTGTAGACTAGGCTGGCCTCGAACTCGGAAATCTGCCTGCCTCTGCCTCCTAAGTGCTGGGATTAAAGACGTGCACCAGTACTGCCCAGCAAAGTAGAATTCTTAACACTTTAGTTATTTCATTGAGAGCAGCCTGTCTCTTTTCAAAGAAAACTTGAAATGATTCTATGGTGTCAGCACTATAATGGATATTAGTTCTACAACTATGTTAACTTTTGAGACATCCTATTCCCTTTTAGATATGGAGATCACATTACTGAAATAAATACAACATTTAGTAGTTTATCTTCTACTTCAGGCTTACATTTATGGGACAGAAAGTCTAAGAGTAGTATGGGGAACTTCTGTCATCAGTGTTTGTTTGTGTGGGGTTTTTTGTTTGTTTTTTTGAGACAAGGTTTTTCTGTGTAGTCCTGTCTAGAACTCACTCTGTAGACTAGGCTGGCCTGGAACTCACAGAGGTTCTCCTGACTCTGCCTCCACCTCCTGAGTCCTGGAATCAAAGGTATGTGCCACCATTGCCCAGCTATCAGTGATTTTTTTTTTTTTTATAGTGGTATGTTCTGTAGAAGTCTTTATAAGTACAGGGTGTTGACTTAGAAGATCAGAACAATACATTCGTCAGGTGAGAGCGCACCCTACCTTTGACTCTTAGTTTAGGGATAATGTGAAAAGTCTTATTTTGTTTTCCTTAGTGGTATAAAATGTAGTTATTTGATGGGGTACTTTATAGGGCAAACACTGTCTTTTCTTTAGTCTCACTTCTTAGATATTAATGTGCCCAGGAATTACATTATAGGTCTATAGGCATCAAGAAAGCATGAGTTCTAAAAGATACCTGAGGGATGGACCTGAAGGTTGTTGTTTTTTTTTTTTTTTTTAAGTGCCTGTGATATTGGTCAGATGACCATACTTTGAGCAGTAAGGCTTCAGTCCTATGGAAGACTAGCAAATGGTGTTGTCAGATAACTGAGATAGATAGCTGTACCCTGAGGTTCAAAGTGGCCTCTGCTTTGGTTCCAAGTGTATCTTTGGAACTCAGAGTCACATGGTGTCTTCACGTCAGCACTTAAGCCTCTGTGACAGATAGGATAGTATAAATTAAATGGGTTGATCATGTGCTCCTGTCATCTTGAGGGTCTTAAGTCATTAATATTTAATCTCTGATCTGTTTTGCTAACCTGTGGTCCCAAGAACAAAAGCTGTATTTTCCAGCTGAGCACAGAGACACTGCTTTCAGCTTTCAGAGGCAGAGATGGACAGGTGTCTGTGAGTTTGAGGACAGCCTGGTCTGCATAGTGAGTTCAGGACAGCCAGGGCTATACAATGAGACCCTGTTTTGGTGGGGGTGGAGGGGGAAGGAAAGTAAGCCTCAGAAAACAGTAAGATTTAAATTCTAGGTAAAAGTTGGTAATCAGTTGATACATTTCCTATACAAAAATCATCTTTGGCAATTTTATATGTGCTGTCCATAAACTGAATTGAGTAGTAACCTCTGACAGGTGACACTTCAGTGATGTATTTAGCATAAAAATAAGAATGCCTGTTTTGAGAAAGGCATAGTTGGGAATGTGAAAAATCATTATCCATTCTTAATATGTCAGCTATCCAGTACATAGGTAACTGGAAGTTCTTAGCTGGTCGGCTAGACCATAGGTGCTGGGTTCTGATACTTCCTACCTCTCCAGTTCTAGCTCATCTTGAAAAGTTGGGACTCAGGTTCATGACCCCCATGAGTCCTACTCATCATAGTCCCATCATGATGGGAACTTTAGCTAGATAAGAAGCCAGTCATTGCACACAGAAATTTTTAGGAGGGACCTTTAATTCAAGTAAGGTTGCTATAATAGGACACTAGGCTTATGGGCAATCTGCCCAAGGATCTGGGAATTTGCTGAGGGTTTCCAGTGGTCCAGCTAGACAGGAACAAGTCTGGTAATTAGTGGCACAGCTTCAGAAAGGGGTGATACAGCTTGTCCTTGCAAGCTTTCGAGAAGAGAGGAGAGGCTAAGGATTGTTGGGTGCCACTCAAGGACTTGATTACTACTTTACCATTAACCTGTAAGACCTTCAGTTTTAAACTTGGCCTGCCTGCTCCTCCCTCCCTCCTCCTCCTCCCACTCTCTCCTCCTACCTCCCCCCCCCACACACACACACACACACAGGGTTCCTCTGTATGGCCCTGGCTGTCCTAGAACTTGCTCAATAGACCAGGTTGGCCTCATGCTAGGATAGAAGGTATACATCCTCATCACTTACACTTCTCTTAATCTTAATTATTCTCCTTTAAAGTGAAGATGCTACTGCTGATCTTCTAGGCACTTTTATGGTGAGTAAATGGGAAAGTGCAGGTCCAGTATCTGGTACATATTTCTGCTAAGAACTATATGATGTATTAAACAGGCCTACTTAAAGATGGGTCTCATTTTAATACCAGCTTTAGAATCAAGGCAACTGCTTTCTAAATAGCAGCAAGTAACCACCTTCTTTTGCTGTTTTTGTCTGACATGGAACCTGTGTGGCCTAATGCCTACTAGGTGTTCCCTTGTCCCCTAAGTTGTACTGTCCATCTTCAGTCTAACTCGGAAGCAGATTGCCATAAAAGTAACTTTTATGTTTGTTGTTTCCTTGAACCTGCTTACTGTTCTGTAGTTTTATATTGTTTTAACAGTTGTATTGACTATTTAAAAGGGAAGGTTTATTTTTATTGCATTAGCCAGTTGCACAGTGTGAAATTTTTGAACAAAAGAAAGCTAGGGTGTTGTTGTTTGGTGTTTTCTTTGCAACATTTTCACAGTTTCCTAAGCATTCTCCACTAGAAAAGTCTCTGTTAGATCAGCCACTGTTAGGTTAGAGTGGGTATGGCTCAGTGTGGTGCTGGCCATCTACAAAATTATTTCTGGCATCCCCTTTATTTTAGTAGCTGGCTAGATTCATCAGTGACATTGGCCTGATTGCCTGCCACAGGTGTTTTTACCCCATTGTTGTCTTTGTGTGTGTTGGATGTGTATGTTGTACCTATGTGAGTGTGTAGGTAGTAACACCCATACGTGTATATGCTATCTGCTTTATTGTCCTAAGACATAATCCCTCAACTGAGTCAGAAGCTTGCTTGGTTTTTTGTTTTGTTTTTGTTTTTGGCAAACTTGCCTGGCCAGCAAGCTCATGGAATCCATTGTTCTCCATCCCCATTCTGGGTATAGCCATATTCTAATTTTTAGATGGATCCAGGGGATTCAAACTCAGTTCCTTAGGTTTGTAGAGCAAGCACTCTGGTCCACTGAACTGTCTTTGCAGCCCCCCATTATTCCCTATTTTTAAAGCTATATTATCTTTGAGATCAGTTCCAGTGAAGTATCAGAGCACTACCCTAAGAAGCCTGATGGGCCCAGCCCAATATTGATGGGCATATGGAAAGTAGGGACTGGAAGAGGAGGTCAAAGGTGGGCCTCCACCTAGGGCTGTTGTTAGGACAAGAGCATTCATTAGAAAGAACATAGGTTACTTCTAGAGTTCTTTGAGTTTAAAGAACTCTAAAGACTTCCACTAAAGTCTTGATTTTTGAAAAGGCAAGCCAGGAAACCCTGTCTTGAAAGGAAGAAAAAAAAAAAGCAAAACACCTTGTTTATACTGAACTTGTTACTGTTAAGAATCAAATTCAATGCCAGTGTGTGGTGGCACATACTTTCAATCCCAGTCCTCCAGAGTCAGAGGCTGGTAGATCTCTATGAGTTTCAGGCCAGCCTGGTCTACATAGTGAGTTCCAGATCACACAGTGCTATATAATAGAGGCCCTGACTCAAACAGTAACAAACAGAACCAAATTCATTTTACAGAGTCTTTTGTCCCCTTCTGCATTGTCACCTGTGTCAGGATGCTAATGCTGCTTCCCTGTGGGGCTCTTAGAGAAGTATTTGGATGAGGAGCTTAGTCATTGTTGCTTTGGATTTCTATCCAGACTTATTCATGGTCTCCTTTTACACTGATTACCAGAGTGTGTGTCAGTGTCTCCCAGATTGATCGTTTTGGAAAGCTTAACAAGGTTTTTAAGGGAGTCTGACACAGCTTCCTTTGGTGTCTGTAGTTTGGGCAGTTAATTAGTAGCTTGTTTCTGCCTGGTCAAGTTTTAGCAACCTGTGCAAACAGCGAGAAGTCAAGGACTAAATCCTCTCATATGTATGGGATGATTTCAGAGGTTTGGTCCACAGTCTGTAAAGTCAACAGAAGAGTGTTCTCACATTCTGATGAAATGCTCAGGAGGAGCAAGCATACCCAGCTACAGTGGGTATCTTCAGCCAAAACCAAGAGTTTTCTTTGATAATACCCATAAAGGGGTTCTTTTCATGGAATAATTATGTTAAAGCTTGATGAAATTGCCAGCTGTGTAGTTTTAATCCCAACATCCAGGAGGCAGAAGCAGGTGGATCTCTTAGTTCAAGACCAGCCAGACCTACAAAGTAAGGCCCTGCCTTAGAGAAAGGAAGGAAAAGTAAACTGTGTTGACTTAACTAATAATCTTTTATATATGCCTTGGGACATTGCTTGAATGTAGGACATTTCAGCTCTCTAAATTGAGCAAGAAGGCTTCTGTCTGCCCACCTAAATATCCAGGTAGATTTTGGGCCACATTTTGAGCAACATACTCAATTTATAGCATTAACTTTTCTTTCTTTTGTTTTTGGATTTTTGTTTTTGTGAGACAGTCCCTCTGTGTAGACCAGGCTGTCTTGAACTCACAGACATAGTGTTGGGATCAAAAGCGTGTAACCATGCCCAGCTGCATTCCTTTATTTTTCTTTCATGATATCAAGGATGAAAGCCTAAGGCTTCACTCATGCAGAAGTTCTGTTACACCCCAAGCCTAAGAACATTAATTATTCAGTTTTGTTTGTTTCAAGACAGGGTTTCTCTGTATAGCCCCAGCTGTCCTGGAACTCCCTCTGTAGACCAGGGTGGCCTCTTGTCTCCCGAGTGCTGGAATTAAACATGTGCACCACCATTGCCCTACTTTTGTTTGTTTGTTTGTTTGTTTGTTTCTGACACAGTCTCATAGTGTAACCTTGGCTACTGTGGAACTAGCTATGTAGAACAGGCTGGTGATCCTCTTCCCTCTGCCTCTTAGTGTTAGGATTAAAGTTGTGTACCACCAGGCCCACAGCATTAATTCTTAATCTCTGTAGGACTTAAAATTACAAGCAAATGAAAGTATACCCAGATTCTAGGCTTTGACTTCTACTATTCTACAATTCACGGTACTAGAGTTGTTCATACTAATGGCTGGCTCCAGAGTGAGTCAGGACACAAGATAAACCAGAAAGGCAATGTTGCCCATTTATCTATTACTTTTGGACTCAGTCCTAGTATGTGACCTAGGCTGGCCTGAAACACCTCTCAGCCTCATGAGTGCTGGGGTTCCAAGTGTGTACTGATAGACCCTGCAGAAAGCAGTAATTGTTTCACTAAAGCTTTGGACATATAGCCCACTTGAAGTTCCCACTGACAAAATCTTGAACTGTTTGGGCATCAAAATAATTAAGGATATCAATGAATTAAGTAAGGACCATTGAGTTGGCTGTAGTGGTACATGTCTTTAATCCCAATCATAGAGATAGTCTTGTTTGACCGTCTTATAAATCCCCTGATCCAATTCTAGTCCTTTTGGAATTTTAAGTCCAAAATTGTAAGAATCGTGTGAAAGCCACACCTGTGATCTCAGCACTCAGGAAGTAGGGGCTGGACATTAGTTAAAGGCCAGTCTAGAGAGCTTGTCTTAAATATCTCCCTGTCCTCCCTCCCAAAAAATCTTATATAAAGTATTTAAACTAGACACATAGAAGGGAAATAAATTGGAAGTATGTGGCCTGAGAAATGGAGTGCAAATTTTTCATGGGATTTCTCTTTTTAGGAGGAGCTCTTGGATATAAAAGAACGTCCATACTCCAAGCAGAGGCCATCATGCCTCTCTGAAAAATATGACAGGTATGAGTGTTACTGTTAAGAATTGCATTATTGGGGCTAGAGTGGTGGCACGGCAGGTAAGCATCTGCTTTTTCAGTGGAACAAAGTTGAGTTCTTAGCACCCACACCAGGTGGATCACAACAAACCTGTAAACTCCAGCTTCAGGGGCATTTGACACCCCTGGCCAGTATGGACACTTGAACTCATATGTACATACATATAAGTTAAAATTTAAAAATAAATTTAAAAGTAAGTAAATAAAAATTTATTTAAATGGAAAGAATTCCATTGTTGGAAAGTTGTTGTTTTAGTAGCACTATGACTGAGGAAATGTTAATATTAATAGCATGGCCATCAACTAACCAGTACTGAAACTAAACTACAGAGTGCCTTGGTTAAGGTCACAGAGCAGATTTAAACCCAGGAGTCTTCATGCCAGGGTTTCTTCCCCAGACTCTGTGGTTCTTGCTGTGATTTCACTTCTTTAACAGTGTGCTTTGGGGAAGTTTAAGGAGGACTTTGAGACCTTTATCACAAAGCCTTATTGTGTTTTAGGCTCCTTAAGGAAAAGCAAAGGACTTTGGTTTGAAGAAGCTACCTAAAAATGATCTGAAAATGTACAATAATACTATATTATATTTCTTTTTTTTTAAAGATTTATTTATATGAGTACACTGTAGGTGTCTTCAGACACACCAGAAGAGGGCATCAGATAGTTGTGAGCCACCATGTGGTTACTGGGAATTGAATTCAAAACCTTTGGAAGAGCAGTCAGTGCTCTTAACCACTGAGCCACCTCTTCAGCCTCCTATATTATATTTCTTAAGGTTACTTTAGTAATTTCCTTTTTGTTGTTGTGGGGATTTTTTGTTTGTTTGTGGGTTATTTTGTTTGTTTTGTTTTGTTTTTGAGACAACATCTTTTTACATAGCCCTTGCTGTCCTGGAATCTGCTCTGTAAACCATGTTGGCCTCAAACTATAGAGATCTTCTTGTCTCTGCCTCCCAAGTGCTGAGAAAAAAGGTATGGGCCACCATGTCTGGCAGTCTTAGTAATTTCTTAAATATCATGTGGGCCGCTATTTTTTCTTATAAAGTGTCATGTTTAATTTTCTGGGTTCATTGTACCACATACCCACACCCCTAGTGCTAGGGCTGGAACCCAGGGCCTTACCCATGTTAGGTGAGTGTTTTTATCATTAAGCTACCTCTTCTCTATGGATAGACTTTTCAAACCTATATACAGGCAGTTGAGAAGGCCTGTTGAATCTAGACAAGTCATTACATTTTCCTGATGGTGATGATACCTGAATAGTGGCTATTTTGATTGGCTAGGAATTTTCATGCGTCTCAGGCTTGTTTGTTTTTTTTTTTTTTTTTTCATTAAAATTGTAAAGGCTCTGTATACTTCAAGTTTTATTATTACAACTTTTTTATTTCCATAAAATAGATTTACCATGAGCACACGAATTAGTTTTTATGCTAAATTAGATACTGTACCTAGTGACAGTGCTACAGATAAGAGTGAAGCAGAGAGTGAGCATTTGTTGGCTCCCTCACAGACATCCTAGAAGGTGGAGAGTATCTCCCTGCTGTGAGGGCTTGAGAACTGTTGACTTGTTTTTCAAGCAGTGTTCATGGCTAAGGATATAAAGCAGGTAGAGCACCAGTGAGTCTAATTACCAATAAACAAGAAAATAAAATTAAGAGCTGTTTTAGGAAAAAACTGAGATTATACATGGAAATTCTAGCCCAGTATGGTGCTGCATGCCTTTAACCCCAGCACTCAAAAGTTAGGGACAAGAGGATCAGTGTAAATCTGAGGTCAAGCTGGTCTAAGTAAGTTCCAGTCCCACCAGGGCTATATAGTAAGACTTTTGTCTCAAAATAACAACAAACCCAAACCAACAAAAAAAAATTCTAGAAAAATACATACCGGGGCTAGTGAGATGGCTCAGCTGTTAAGAGCACTGGTTGCTCTTCCAGAGGTTCTGAGTTCAATTCCCAGCAACCACATGGTGGCTCACAACCATCTGTAATGGGATCTGATGCCCTCTTCTGGTGTGTCTGAAGACAGCGACAGTGTACTCATATACATAAAACAAATCTTTAAAAAAAGAAAAAGAAAAATATATACCATACTTTCTAGGAGGTACTTCCGGTCAAAAGTTAAAGCTTCCTCTGCAGAACTTGGGAAAGATCTTTGTGTGGAACAGTTACTATAGTTCATACAGAGGCCAGGGTTTCTGAACTGACAGTTTCATTTGTATACAGACTCCTGTTTTTCAAGTACCTATTGGTGTTACATTATTCGAAAGAAACTATACTCAAGTAACAACTGTTTTTGCTTTCATCTTGAATAGGGTAATTATTTGGAAGCAGCCATGGCTATCATGTAACCTAAAGAAATTAGGTCCTATTTGAATTATTAATCTTCAAACTCTAACTAATGTTATCCTCTAACCTGTAGTGATGGTGTCTGGGACCCTGAGAAGTGGCATGCCTCTCTCTACCCAGCCTCAGGGCGGAGCTCCCCAGTGGAAAGTCTGAAGAAAGAGCCAGAATCAGATCGACCTTCTCTGGTGCGCAGAATAGCAGGTAAGTGCACAATTACTTATTAACGATAGAGTGCTTTGGAGAACATGCTCCTGGTTGCTGGTTTCCTTCTTAGCCCCTAGAGTTTTACATACCAAAGAGAAATGGCATCAGAAAACTCATTTACTAGCTGTATTTTTCATAATGAGCAGAGTAAAATCATAGTAATAGTCTTCCTATAACAGTGGCAAGTTAGACTATGTGCTTTTAAATTATAAGGTACTATTGTCTTTGCTGGCGTGAAAGTGTTGACAGCTTAATACATGTGGAATCACCTAGAAGACAAGCATCCAGGACAAGATGCAGGAATTATTTAGCATTGGTGCCTGCCTGTGAGGAAATGTCTTCATTAGGTTAACTGATTGATATGAGAAAACCTGTCGCTGGGCAGTGGTGGTGCACACCTTTAATCCCAGCACTTGGGAGGCAGAGGCAGGGGGATTTCTGAGTTCGAGGCCAGCCTGGTCTACAGAGTGAGTTCCAGGACAGCCAGGGCTATACAGAGAAACCCTGTCTCGAAAAACAAAACAAAACAAGAGAAAACCTGTCTTAACTGTGGGTGGGATTATTCTCTGGAGATTTATTCTTTTTTTTTTTTTTGGTTTTTTCGAGACAGGGTTTCTCTGTGTAGCCCTGGCTGTCCTGGTACTCACTCTGTAGACCAGGCTGGCCTCTAACTGAGAAATCTGCCTGCCTCTGCCTCCCAAGTGCTGGGATTAACGGCGTGCGCCACCACCGCCCAGGAGAAGGGTCTTAAAGCCACACACACAGTGACACATTTCCTCCAAGGCCACACCTCCAAATAGTGCCACTCTATGGGCATAGCATATTCAGAGAACTACACCTACTGTGCATACATGAAGCCCTAGGTTTAATTTCTAGCACTGAGTAAGTTGGGCATGGTAGTTCAAGCCTCTAATCTGAGCACCGAGGAGATCAAAGCAGGAGGATCAGAAGTTTGAACTCATCTTCAGTCATACATAGTGAGTTAGAGACTGGTCTCAATGAGACCCTGTCTCACCTGGAAAGAGCTATTTGTTGACAGCTAGTCATTTATGTCTTTAATCCCAGCACTCAGGAGGTAGAAAGCAGGCAGATCTCTGTGACTTTGAATGGTGAGACACTGAAAAATAATTAAAATAAGATAAAAAGCTGTTTCTGGTTTTACAAAAGAGCCTAAAACAGTTTTGTTTTTGTTTTTTTTAAAAAAAACTTGGGCTCTGCTTCAGGCTAGTTTTTTTTGTTTGTTTGTGATATGCTTTTCTATTTCTTTTTCTTTTTTAATGTGTGTGTGTATATATATATGTATGTATGTATTCACTTTACATCCCAATCACAGCTCCCCTCCCTCCTCTCTTCCCAGTCCTACCCTCTCAAATACATCCTCCATTGCCCCTCCCCTTCTCCAAGAAGTGGAGCTTCCCTTAGATACCAATCTATCCTGGGATATCTAGTCCCAGCAGGACTGGGCACATCCTCTTCCGCTTAGACCCAACCAGGGAGCCCAGGTATCGAGAAGGGGGTCCTACGAAAGGGAGTAGAGATTGATGCAGCCTCTAGTCCACTTGTTAGGGGACCCACATGAATACCAAGCTGCACATTTGCTACAAATGTGTAGGGGGGTCTGGGTCCGGCTCCTGCATGCTCCCTGGTGCATCGCCTTAGGCTCTGTGAGCCCCCCATAGTCCAGGTTAGTTGACTCTGTGAGACTCTATGTGACACGCTTTTCTTTATTGAAATTGAATTTATATATGGAACCCTTACATACAACATACCTTTGATGTTCTGACATGTATCTGTATGAAACCATTACCACAATCAAAATAATAAGCATTCTTGATCTCTCCTATAAGTGCTCTAGTGTTTGAGTGCCTCCTTTTTACCCATTCTCATTACCTCCAAGAATGAACTGCTCTTCTAGATGAGTTTACACTCTTAAAATTGTATGTGACTAGAATTGTCACCATACATTTTCTTAAGTGAGGCTTCTTTTTGGAAACAAGGTTACTCTGTAGATCAGGCTGAACTCAAACCTTTATCCCTCTGGGTCAGTCTTTCATGAACTATAGCTGGTTGTATCCATGTTGTTGAATATGTAGTTCATTTCTTTTTATTGCTTAATAATAGATTATATCTATTTTTCTGTGAATAGTAATTTGAGTTGTTTCTAACCAAAGTTGCTGTGAATATTTATGTATAAGTATGAGCATGGGTATAGGAATGTTTGTCATGTGAGTTAATACTTAGAAGTATTATGGCTAGTGCGAATATACAGTGTTTCAGGAAACTACCCCAGGGCTGAAGAGATGGCAATGGCTGATTTTCCAGAGGTTCTAAGTTCAATTCCCAGCAGTCTTCAAGCTTCTTATTTTTAAGGTGGCTAGACATTTGATATTCCTGTCAGCAGTATTTCCTGCTTGCTCCACATCTTGGTAGCACGTGAAATTGTTCGTCTTCTTCATTATAGCCATCTAGTACATAGTGCTGTTACGTTATATTGTGACATCCACATATCTTTGCTGAGGTGTCTGTTCAGTCATTTATCCTTTTTTGTTGTTTTAGTTTTTTGACACAGGTCTTCCAGTGTGCCCAGATTGACCTCAAACTCAGCAGTCCCTGCCTTAGGCTACTAAGTACTCTATGGGCATTCTATACTATGTCCAGCTCACTTGTCCTTTTTTTTTTTTTTTTTTAATTTAAGGAGCCAGGCAGTGGTGGTACACACCTTTAATCCCAACTCTTGGGAAGCAGAAGCAGGCAGGTCTCAGAGTTTGAAGCCAGCCTGGTCTGCAGAGGGAATTCCAGGACAACCAATAAGGATTTCATGTACATGTTGTTTTGTCTGTATGTACATCTGCATAACAGAAAAGAGCATTGGATGGATCTCATGGACTACAGTTAGAGATGGTTGTGAGCTGCTGTGTGGTACTGGGAATTGAACTCAAGACCTCTGGAAGAATAGTGTTAACTAACCACTGAGCAACCTCTCCAGCCATTAGTCCATTTTTTAATTAGATAGGGTTTTTTTTTAAGTCACTGTGTTTGTTTGTTTTTTTTTTTTTATTTTATGTACATTGGAGTTCTGCCTCCATGTATGTCTATGTGAGCATGCTGGGTCCTCTGAAACTGGAATTATAGACAGTTGTAAGCTGCAATGTGGGTGCTAAGAGTCCTTTGGAAGAGCAGCCAGTGCTCTTAATCAATGAGCCATCTTTCCAGCCCACTATTACTGAGTTTCTTTGTTTGTTTGTTTGGTTGGTTGGTTGGTTGGTTTGGTTTGGTTAGTTTTTTGTTTTTCGAGACAGGGTTTGTCTGTGTAGCCCTGGCTGTCCTGGAACTCATTCTGTAGACCAGACTGGCCTCGAACTCAGAAATCCACCTGCCTCTGCCTCCCAAGTGCTGGGATTAAAGGCGTGTGCCACCACTGCCTGGCTTATTACTGAGTTTTTATATGCTATGGATTTGTGTTTCCCTGAGAAATGTGCCTAGAAATGTTTTCTCCCCAGTCTTTAATTTCTAAATATCGTCTTGAACGAACAGTTTTAAACTTGAAGCAAACCTTGCTTACCAGGCCTTCTTAATGGATAACACTCTTGTTGCTATGCCTCAAAAACACTTTGCCTAACCATCAGCAAAGGTATTCTCTTATAGTTTAGGTTGCACATCTAGAGGCTTTAAATTTTTAATGTAAAAAACCATTATAAAGAGCCATCACATTGGTAAAGATACTTGTTGCCAAGCCTGACAACCTGAGTTTAGTCTTTAAAGACTGACAACATGGAGGAAGGAAAGAGCCTGTCCCCACAGATACCCTCCTGTGAATCTGTTGATAAGCCCAGTTGCCAGCCCAGGACATCTAAGTATCTAAGATGTTGGTTTACTACCTTTCTCTTTCTGTCATCTTTTCAGATCCACGAGAGCGAGTGAAAGAGGATGACTTAGATGTTGTTCTCAGCCCACAGAGACGAAGCTTTGGAGGTGGCTGCCATGTGACAGCTGCTGTTAGCTCCAGACGCTCTGGCAGTCCATTGGAGAAAGACAGTGATGGGCTTCGCCTGCTTGGTGGACGAAGGATTGGTAGTGGAAGGATAATTTCTGCCCGAGCCTTTGAGAAGGATCATCGTCTTAGTGATAAGGACCTGCGCGACTTGAGAGACCGAGACAGAGAGAGAGACTACAAGGACAAGCGGTTCAGGGTTTGTTTTCTAACCCCCTTGGTTCTCAAGTGCTTGGGATTTTTTTTTTTTTAAGGTTTATTTATTTAGTATATATATAGTACTCTGTCTGCCTGAAGAGGCCATCAGATCTCATTATAGATCTTTATGAGCCACCCTGTGGTTGCTGGGAATTGAACTCAGGACCTGGAAGAACAGCCAGTGCTCTTAACCACTGAGCCATCTCTCCCATCCCAAGTGCTTGGAAATTTGATGCTCACCTCCTTTGTACTGCATTTCTCTGTTGTTGCTCTCACAATGGTACAGAATCCAACCCAGGGCTGCACACTTGTCAGCAAGTTCCCTAGCCTAGTCTGAGTTACATCATCCTAACCCCCCACACCCCAGTTACTTTGAGAAGCTGGGGATCGCAGACCACTCACAGTAAACACAGAGAACTCAGGTGGCAGTGCAAGAGTTGGGGTGTACTTCAGATGCACAGCACAGCATCTGCATTTCAGCTTCTGTCATCAGTTCATTAGGATTGGTTACAGTGTCGCATTAGAACTTTACAGTCTTTCAGTCTTGCTCTTTGTACTTTTTCAGAGGGAGTTTGGAGATAGTAAACGTGTCTTTGGTGAGCGTAGACGAAATGATTCATATACTGAGGAAGAACCAGAATGGTTTTCAGCTGGACCCACCAGTCAGTCTGAAACCATAGAGCTGACTGGCTTTGATGATAAGATTCTAGAGGAGGATCACAAAGGTAGAAAAAGAACAAGGCGACGGACTGCCTCTGTGAAGGAAGGTCAGTATCAATTTTCAACTTGTTTTGAAATAATGACATGATGATTGCTTTAATTGCACAATTAGTGATGGGTGCCAGTTTGTAAATGGTAAATTTTTAGTGTTCTGGCTTTATTTTTTGAGTGTGTTTGTAAAGACACTGCCTGCCAAATCTTTTAGGTATACTTTTATCATGATTATGAAATATACTCATAAGAACTCGGCCTTGGGGATTGGAGAGATGGCTCAGAGGTTAAAGAGTACTGGCTGCTCTTCCAGAGGTCCTGAGTTCAATTCCTGGAAACTATATGGTGGCTCATAACCATCTATAATGAGATCTGGTGCTCTCTTCTGGCATATAGGCATACATACAGGCAGAACACTGTATACATAATAAATAAATAAATGTTTTTTATAAAAAAAGACTCAGACTTCGGGCTGGAGAGATGGTTCAGTGGTTAAGATCATTGGCTGCTCTTCCAGAGGACCTGGGTTTAATTTCTAGCACCCACATGATAGCTTATAATTGTAATTCTAGTTCCAGGGGATCCAGCATCCACATACTGACATACATGCAGGTAAAACACCAATATACATAAAATAAAAATAAATTTTATAATGGAAAAAAAGAACTTAGACTCTACTGTGTACTTATTTCAAATATAGTTGGAAAAACATGTTTTGGCAGATATTGGGTAATGGGAAGGCTCTTAATGATAATTAGTGTCAACTTCCAAAGAAGTTAAAACAAACTTGGAAATAAACTAATGAAATATATTTAAAAGTGAGAAAAAAGGAGACATCACAGTTCTTTCCTGTTTCTTTGTTTGTTTTTGTACACTTTAAGTGTGGTAGGCTTTTTTTTTTTTTTAATTTTTATGTGGGCACATATTCTTCTGGTTCTGGGAATTCATAGGTAACTCAGGAGATTCTAGGGTGGTTGTTGTTGTTGTTGTTTGAGACAAGGTTACTCTGTGTAGCCTGGGATGTCCTAGAACTAGTTCTATAGACCAAGCTGGCCTCAGCCACCTAAGTGCTAGGATTAAAACCAGGTGCCAACACCACCTGCCTGGGAGATTCTGCTCAATTGCTTTTGAGAGATACCATTGTTTACTCCACCAGAATGAAGCAGCATCAGCCAGTATGGCTGTTTAACTGATGTTAGAGACCAAGCTTCTGTAGAAAATAATGTTTTCTGTGACTGAGATAAAATTCAAATGTCAGCCATTCGTGCAGGGTTTTGTTCTGGGACAAGATCTCATGTAGCCCAGACTGGCACCCAACCCAGCATGTAGCTGAGGCTAGCCTCGGACTATACTGCACCATAATCTTTAGTACTGGACTTGTATATAGATGTGTCACCAAGGCCATTATTGTTTGTTTTCTTAATTTATTTTGTGTGTGTATTACTGGAGGTATTCTACTCAGAACCTTCATGTGTACTGGGCACTCTGGTCTGAGCTACATCCTAGCCCAGCAGTGTTTCTCTTCAGTTGCTTTTGCGTTATTGCTGTACTAGAGATAGAACCCCAGTCCTTGACCTTGTAAAGCAAATGCTCTACCACTAAGGGATATCCTTAGTTCTTTGTTTTCTGTTGGTTTGGAGTTTGCTTTTTTAGTTGACTTGTTTTGTTTTTAAGATTTACTTACTTGCCAGGAGGTGGTGGCGCACACCTTTAATCCCAGCACCCGGGAGGCAGAGGCAGGCGTATTTCTGAGTTTGAGGTCAGCCTAGTCGTCTACAGAGTGAGTTCCAGGACAGCCAGGGCTACGCAGAGAAACCCTGTCTCGAAAAACCAAAAAAAGAAAAAAAAAAAAGATTCTTACTTATTTTATGTATATGAGTACACTGTTGCTGTCTTCAGACACACCAGAAGAAGGCATCAGATCTCATTACAGATGGTTGTGAGCCACTATGTGATTGCTGGGAATTGAACTCAGGACCTCTGAAAGAGCAGTCAGTACTCTTAAGGGCTGAGCCATCTCTCTAGCCCCTGGCTTTTGTTTTATTGGTTTGTTTTGTTTTTTGACATAGAATCTGACTTGGAAATATAATCACAGATAACTTTGATCTTCTGGTTTTTCCGTCCTCCACCTGAGTTCTGGGATTACAGGCATGTTCCAGTAGGCTCAGTTTTATGCAGAGGAGGGGAATTGAACCGAGGAGTTCATATATGGTTTATTTTGTGTTTGGTTAGGGTTTTTCAGCTTTTCTCTTTTTTTATTTGTTTGTATCTATGCACATACGTGCTAGGAGGCTTGCATTGCCACGTCACCAGGCAGTTAAGGTTCCTGACATAGGTGCTAGAATCTGAGTTCAGGATCCTCAGAATGAGCAGTATGTGCTCTTACGCACTGAGCCATGTCTCTAAATGTTTGTTTTTGAATATGTGTGTTTTAAGCACTTGTAAATAAGTGGGTTTGGGGTTTTTGTTTTATTTGTTTTGTTTCTTCCTGTTTTGGTCATACTTTGCCTAAAACTAAAAAAAGTGGACATTACTGGATTTCAGATATTCCTGGCCTTGCAGAATAAGACAGGGCTGATAAGAGCAGGTAATCAGCCTCTAAAGATCTGTCTTACTAGAGAATTGCTGTAATACATACCAGTATTTTATAAGGGGGAGATCAGTGTACTTAATAAAGGTTTTTTTTTTTTTTTTTAAAAGGTAGGGTAGGTTTCCTAGAAAGGGTAACAATCAAACTTTATATTGGTAATGGACTATAGCCAACCTTGTAGACAAGTAAAAATTGCCCACGTATAGTGATACCAGATGCATGTATAAACAGTGCCAAATAATTTGGCTTCAGAGGCTTGAGTTCAGTTCCTAGCACCCACATGAAGCAGTTCAAAAACACTTGTATATGTTACCAACTCCCCAAGAGGGAGCCAGTACCCTCTTTGGCCTTCCAGATAACTGCAAACATCATGCCATACAACACACAACACAGACACACACAGCTAAGTAAATATAATTATTACTATTTTTAAAGAAAACCTGGGGTTGGGGATTTAGCTCAGTGGTAGAGCGCACAAGGCCCTGAGTTCAGTCCTTAGCTCGGGGGTCGGGGGGACAAAAAAAGAAAACCCACTATACTATAGAAAACTTGGCATATTTAGGAGTGGGGCCACAGTCCTTTTCCTACTCTGTTATTGTTCTAGGTACTTAGCAAGGACTTTTTTCTTTTCTAGTTTCCAGAGAAAGGGTACTAAATGAAGTGCCAGACCTACACAAGAAGTCTGTTTACAGTCATGTGTGACTTCTGCATGTATATTGATGGCTACAGGCACAGAGTAAGACTCGGCTATGTACCTGAACAGGTGGTTTCTGTCTTGGTTTTGTTTTTAGGCATAGTGGAGTGCAATGGAGGGGTGGCTGAAGAGGACGAGGTGGAAGTCATTCTGGCCCAGGAGCCCTCTGCTGATCAGGAAGTTCCAAGGGATGTCGTCCTACCTGAACAGTCCCCAGGAGAATTTGACTTTAATGAATTCTTTAACCTTGATAAGGTGCCGTGCTTGGCTTCAGTGAGTATAAGAACACATGTGCAAACATGGGCGGAAGGAGTTAGAGAATGGCTGAGTGGATCACACCCTTGTTGTGCAAATGTGAAGACTGAAATGTAGATCTCTAGAACTCCAGTAAATGTTGGGGCAGCATGGTGGTCCTCCTGTAATCCCAGCTCACAGAAAGTGGTGACAGGATTCTTAAAGCAAGCTAGGTAACTGAACTAGCTCTGTTGGTAAGCTGTGGGCTCAAATGAGAGACCCTGGCTCAGTTTATGAAGTAGAGAGTGATTAAGATGCCTAGCATCAACCGCTTGACCTCTACTTAGGCACAGCATATGCACCCAAACATGTGTGTACCCCCCACAGGAATGTTCATATATACATGCTACACACATCCATGCATGCACACGCATGCGCACAAAATAAAAATAAGCCTATAGAATCTGAGTGTGGAGGTATACACTTAAAATCTTAGCATTTGGGATGCTGAAACAAGAGGAGTTTGAGTCTGAGGGTAGCTAGAGCTACGTGGTCATTTCATGGCTTGCCTGACTGCATAGTAAAATGCCATCTCAAAAAACTTTTTCATTTGATTTAAAAAGTGTTGAACGGCTAATTTTGGTTAAATTTGACATAGTGTTTCTCTTTTTCCACAGGGATGGGTATCTTTTGTTTGTTTTGAGATGGGGCCTCACTGTGTTAGATGGCCTGGAACTGAGAAATTAAAGGCCTCTACCACCACTCCCCAAATACATATGTATACATTTTTTTTTTTTAATCAAGGAAATCTCTACTAAGGACAACTAAGTATCACACCTCTCAGCTCTTTCATCAGCTGATAGCTGAAAAGGACATAGCAAACGCTATCCTGATTTAGAAATCAGAGCTATGTCCATTTCCTGTGCAGGAAAGAGGTTCTGCTGTCAGAGACCCTTCTTGCTCCTATGATGAAGATGACCAAACTTTGCCAGCTATGATGGTGCATGCCTTTAGTCTCAACACTTGCAAGGCAGTGGCAGACATATTTCTGTGAGTTTGAGGTCAGCCAAGGTTACACAAAGAAACCCTGTATCAAAAGCAAAAAGGAACTGGGCGGTGGTGGTGCACATCTTTAATCCCAGCACTTGGGAGGCAGAGGCAGGCGGATTTCTGAGTTCGAGGCCAGCCTGGTCTACAGAGTGAGTTCCAGGACAGCCAGGGCTACACAGAGAAACCCTGTCTCGAAAACCTAAAAAAAAAAAAAAAAAGAAAAAGAAAAGACAAACCAGGATTTCATGGTTTCTTTTAAACCTTAAGCCCTTAGGGGTTTTTTGAGATGAGTGTAAAAGTGCAAGCTTGTTTCTACTCTTGATTATAAAATTTTACAAAACACAAAGTTGGAGCCTGGAGAGGTTGTTCAGTGGTTAAGACCAATATCTGCTGTTATAGCGGTCCTAAGTTTGAGTACCAACATCCACATGGAAGCTCACAACTGTCTCTTTACACCAGTTCCAGGGTATCTAACACCCTCATCTGACTTCCAGACACTGCATACACATGGCGCAAAAACATATACAGGCAAAACATTCATAATGTTTTAAAATTTAAGTAATAAGATTTAAAGTTTAAATTGCAAAATTTTAAAAAGAAAACAAGGTTGGTAACAGCGAAATTACTCTTCTCACTGGGCAGTTAGTGGTGGTACATTGCCAGACTGGCCTTGAACTCAGAAATCCGCCTGTCTCTGCCTCCTAAAATTCTTAGTAGATAAAGATTTTTACTTTTAAAATGATTTGTTTTTACTACGGGTCAGTGCACACATGAGCCACGAGTGGAGGTCAGAGGACAGCTTTGTAGAGTTGGCTCTCTTTCCACCTTCCATGGGTTCAGGTCATCAGGCTTGTACCGCAGGTCCCTTTACCTTCTGAGCCATGACATTGAAACAGTAATTACACCTTTTGGGGTGTTTTGTTTTGTTTTGTTTTAGCTTTGGGTTTTTTATATAATTACTGTTTACACCAGATTGGTTGCTTTTTGCCTGCACGCATTTGTTCCACTGGGTATCATTTCTGGTACTTTTATATCCACTGTCTATGCTTTGACTGACCAGAGTTGTTATCCTTCTGTATGTTCTTCCTTTTGATGCTTGTTTTTTGAGACAGGGTCTCAATGTGTGTGGTCCAGGCTGGCCCTCACCTCCCAAGTACTGGAGTACTCGACACCACCCTTAGCTAGCACTAATTTCTATCTTTTGACTTCTCGAGGTTGTCAAGATTGAATTTCATGATATTCCTTTCAGTCCTGAGAACCAATAGTTTCATTCAAGCATTCCTTCTTAAGCAATGCCTGACTGAAGACATCAACATCACTCTGGTGCTGATTAGTTTTGAAACTAAGTCCCCTGATAGTCTTACCTTTTTTTTTTTTTTTTTCTATCCGAGACAGGATTTCTCTGTGTTGCCCTGGCTGTCCTGGAACTCACTTTGTAGACCAGGCTGACCTTGAACTCATAAATCCACCTGCCTCTGCCTCCCAAGCGCTGGGATGTGTGTGCACCACCACCGCCCAGCATCCTGATAGTCTTTCTAATGAGCAAGTGGCAGAGAACCGAAACACTCTACCATGGAGGCTTTGCTGTCTGTGCTTGGGGGTGGGGGTGGGGGTGTTTCTGTGCTTTTTGTGCCCAAATTTGAGTTGCTCAGAAAAGGTCCGGGAAAGGGAAGACAAAGGCTCAATTCCTAAGTTCTGGAAGTGGTTTGGGTACTTCTTTGACAGCAGTGTCAAAGGAAGTTTCAGAGAGTGGCTTAACATTTAACCTTCATGGCCTTTTCGATTTAGCCCCTTTTTTTCTTCCTTATCAGATGATAGAAGATGTTCTGGGGGAAGGGTCAGTCTCCGCCAGCCGCTTCAGTAGGTGGTTCTCTAACCCAAGCCGGTCAGGGAGCAGATCCAGCAGCCTTGGATCCACACCCCATGAAGAACTTGAGAGACTGGCAGGTAAAATGACTTCACAGTCAAGCCTCATATGTCAAGTGGGCCTTCCCTGCATGCTTCATTTTGTTTTCATTAGTCAGTGGTCTACTAGGGCTAAAGAGGTTTTAGATACTGAAAAGCCTTCAGTTTCTATTCTTTTTATGCTGTGGAAGGGATGTTTTCAATTCTCAATGGGACCAACTATGACATTTATTTACAAAATCAGGTTTGGAGCAAGCCGTCCACTCTCCTGGACAGAACTCGGGGAATTATTTTGCTCCTATACCATCGGAAGACCATGCTGAAAATAAAGTGGACATTTTAGAAATGCTACAGAAAGCCAAAGTGGATTTAAAACCTCTTCTTTCTAGCCTTTCTGCAAATAAAGAAAAACTTAAGGAGAGCTGTAAGTATTTGTTGAGCTTTAGGTGTTTTAAGTTCATGTGGTTTTTAAAGATTTATGTATATGAGTGAGTACACTGTAGCTATCCTCAGACACACCAGAAGAGGGCATCAGGCCCAATTACAGATGGTTGTGAGCCACCCATGTGGTTGCTGGGAATTGAACTCAGTACCTCCAGAAGAGCAGTCAGTGCTCTTAACCTCTGAGCCATCTCTCCAGCCCCAGTTCACATGTTCTTAAATGTTCTAAGAATAGAATAGTTTTAATGTACTACTTCTCATGAAGTCAGGTGCATGTCTGGAATTTAGTGTTTTTCAAAAAGATCCAAGCATGGCGCCACAAAACGCTTGAATCTTTTAAGCTCTAGCTAGCCTAGAACTTGCTATGTAGGTCAGGTTGACTTATACCTCAGAGAACCTCTGGCCTCTCTCTCCAGAGTGCTGATATTAAAGCCCTGCACCACATCTGTTCTCTCTGGTTTTTCCTTACGGCCCAGTTGTAACAGCCCAGTGAATGTTTCTGTCCTCACAGGCATAGCTTGCCTGCCCCTTACAACACTACCTCCATTTGCCATGTTCTCACTTAAGCAACAAGTTAGTGCCTTGAGACCATAGTGCAGCCTTGTTGCTGTTAAATTGTCTGGATTCTTGTCCCTAGTAGCAAAATCTGGAGAGATTTATTACAAAGTATCTTTCTGTGTGACACACAGGATCAAGTTTTTGAGACATTGTCTCTTTTTGTAGTTCTAGTTATCTTGGAACTCATTATGTAGAGATCTTTCCAAGGTTTGAAATCTCATACCCCATAGTTCTGCTATCTCAGTTTCTAGCATCTAAATAGCTTTGGTGTAGTTTATTCCGTTTCTTCCCTTTTTTTTTTTTTTTTTTAAATTTAAGATTTGTTTAATTTATATTAGTTCCCTGTCACTCTCTTCAGACACACCAGAAGAGGGCATCAGATACCATTATAGATAGTTGTGAGCCACCATGTGTTTGCTGGGAATTGAACTCAGGACATCTGGAAGAGCAGTCAGTGCTCTTAACCACAGAGCCATCTCTCTCCAACTCTGAATTCTTCCTTTTTTTATTATTATTATTTATTTATGTGAAGGTATTTGTAGAAACTTACTAATTCCCGACCCAGAGTTTTATCCTTCCTTTGACCTTTTAGTTTCTGGATAAAAGACACATACAGCCTTTATATTTACAGTAAGCATTAAACACCAGAACAGCTAGGCAGCTGCCTACCCTCCATGTTGCTAGAATCTACTTTCCTATCGATAACCCTGAGTTATTACTACTTACTATGTTTCACCTGGGCTACTCTTTGGTTTTTTCAAGACAGGGTTTCTCTGTGTAGCCCTGGCTGTCCTGGAACTCACTCTGTAGACCAGGCTGGCCTCGAACTCAGAAATCTGCCTGCCTCTGTCTCCCAAGTGCTGGGATTAAAGGCGTGAGCCACCACTGCCCGGCAAGTGTCAGCCTTTTTGACAGCCTCACATCAGTTATAAAATAGTTGTCATCAGCAGCCAGTGAGAATTCTTCCTAAACACCCTTTGCTTGGTGTAACAAGAACTTTCTCAACTTCTCAGCACATTCAGGGGTTGTACTTTCAGTGGAAGAGGTAGAAGCAGGGCTGAAGGGCTTGAAGGTGGACCAGCAAAT